AGATTTAACGTGCATCGCTCCCTTACACGGCGGGTCTTCAGCGGCACAAGGCTCAAACTCATGACACGCCGGCCGCGAGTCCGTTACCTTGACCACTAGGCTACCGCGGCCCTGGTGGGGAGGAGGAATAGAAGTACACCAGTTTTTAAAAAATTATGTTTAAGTAATACGGAACTGAACAAAAGTGTGCCTAAATATTGACTACGTTGTTCACATCAACATATCTGTGAGTATCATGCTATTCCAAAATGAAATATGCAGAAAATACATACAGAAACTGACTTAGTGATTCTTAGCTGGATGAAATTTTGAGAACAGAGACGTTATATAGAGACAGTTACAAGCCTGATTTAAAAGAGATTTTTTAAAAAGTGTACCCAGTATCAAAGGTCTCATTAGTTTTTATTGATTAATAATTAACCACTTAGACTCATTACATTTCTTTCATCAGTCCTTATGTTGCGGGCCCTGCCGAAACAGCTCTCAGCGAAAAAAATAAAAGGCTGCGTAAAGCTGTTTTGGCTTGGTGAATGAAACTTAAAATAATTATTACCGTCCATTCTGCCATCCTTTCACATTTTTAACTGTTATCTAATGTTAAAAAAAAAAGTATTTTTTTACAACGAGCTATGACACGTGCTACTTTTCGTACTTTAATTCAGAATATCAAAAATTCCACACACTTTTCAAAAAATTTGACAAGTTATGTATATATGTGTGTGTAGCACGCGCAACTTGCGATTGCGAATGTATGTCAAATATTCCACAACTCATTAAGAAAACATGATCAGATACATCAAGTCCTAATTGCATAGAAAAATCGTATAAAAGAGTGGAATAGAGTAGAGAGAGTACCTCCATTTCAGAACCTCTATTTTGTGAACTTTTTTCTGGTACTAAGAACATTTTACTATTTCTTCGTAAAACAACCTCCAAATAGCGGGGTACATTTTTTATTCAACGAACTTTTTCTCTTGTGGTTCGATTTTTTTCTCCCTACTTTTAAAGTATTTCTGAACAGTTTAAACATAATAACAGATAAAATATTTTTTTGATAAAATTTGAGGGATGTTTTGGAGAAGAAAAGCAAGAGATAATTAGATGTTATAATGTTAATATTCGAACAATGATTTGAAAAAAGATTCTTCATAATAAATGGTTTATTATATGATTCTGCAAAATGGAAAGTTTGCAAGGGAAATGTCATTACTTATGCAATCAGGAGAAAATAATGACAGTAACAGAGGTTGGAAACATACGAAGCAAGATGTAGTGGAACCATAATTGTATGCGCAAAATATTAAATGCAATTTATACGTAAATTACGGTTAATAAGCTTCTTTTTTTTGTCTGTCATTATACTAATTACATCATTCTTTTCAAAATACGAGAAAGATTTATATATTTTTCATTCCTTCAGTTGTTTTTATACTTAGATTTACATTCATTATTTAAATAATAACCTTAAAATTTTTTTTACTAAAGATTTTCGTATATTTTCTAATCAGTACGTCAAACTGTGTAATGATTAGATTATATACTCGTATGTTAAATTAATAATTACCGCAAAATCCGGTGTATACCGAGCACCTATACTTTCAAGCTGTATTTATTAATTTTACGGTATATTCGCCGTATAACGCGCACCACCTTTTTTACGAAGAAACGTGAAATGTACATGTGCAATGCTGTTATGTTTTGAAGTCATTTGTTCAAAGTATCCCAAGCTTTTGAAAAAATAATATACTTCTAGAACTACAACCCCTTAAGATATCCGACTACTTGCGACAACTTTTTTTAAAAAAAAATGAAGATATGGGGATTTTTTTGTTGCTTTTAGATTCGTTTAGTACATTTTAAGAAAAACGTGCTAAAATTAAGACGAGAAAAAGAAATTATTATTACTAAAATGGGTAAAAATTAACAACGAATAACATAAACGGGGCCCATTTTGTACCAAAAGTTTATGAACAAATTTTCAATTCTGATGTGTTGCTATGCTATTCATTTTTGAAATGACTTTCAGGATAAAAGATACTTTAATTTTTACAAAAACTAGAACACTTTATCTTAGTTATTATAAGAAATTGCTTAAAATAACAGTGATTATATTCACATAAGGCAATGTAAATTTCATAATAAAACAATGATTGATAAATCTGAAGGTTAAAACACTTCTTCTATTATACAAAACATACACAAAAAATTTCAGTTCATTATTTTCAAAACTTTTTGAGCAATCGCTGACCCCGTTTGATTATTTTCAAAAAAACACATTTCGAGTAAAACGCGTTTTAAAGTATGACATATATCTTGCTTAAAGTAATGGCATCTTCTTTTACTAAAACACTTGTAGTTTTTGTTCTAGAGAACGGAAAATAATAAACTTTAGTATTTTTATAAAGCTAACAAGATGGCCTATAAAATAAAACCATAAAAATATTGTCAATTTTTGGCAAAATTCACAATTTTAGGGTAGTCGGACACCTTAAGTTCATAAGAAATGTCTTTCTTTCACATAAACAGTATGTGATCTATGTAGAAGTTTAATTGTTTTTATGCTGATCTCTGTTTTATTTTTATTTTTAAAGCTCTTATTTTTATACCCGGCGTGTAACATGCACTCCTATATTTCGATTGTATTTTTAGTGTTTTACGGTAACTTTTGATTTGATTATAATTTTCAATGAAATAATATCGTCCTTTCCTTTCTATAACCATAGGCCAAGGTAGCCTAGTGGTCATGGCCACGAACTCGTGGCCGGCCTGTCATGAGTTCTAAGCCTAGTGCCACTGAAGACCCTCCTCGTAGAGGGACTGATCCTGACGTGGTATGGAAATTGGGAGAGTGGGGTTCCAGCTCAGGAGTCGTCCTCGTCACTTGACCGAGCTTTAAAATTACCAAGTCCATCGCCAGTAGTCCTCGTGTTGCTTGATAGTGCGATCTTTATAAACGTTCACTCAATATTGTTAGGTTTAATATATTTTCAAAAGTATAAAAAAAGAGGTAATTTTATAAGTGCATGTCTATGTTATTTAAAACCCTTCTACAGAAATTTAATGTGCTCGTAAAATTAAAAATAATATGCACCAAGATCAATAATTTGAAATTTCTTAATTATTCTCAACGAAAAATTATTTGCTTCACTTTTTTTTTTTACAATGAAACTTTTATAATACGTTCTAATCACATTCTCATTACAGGATAAAGATTTTCATAAGTAATCTAGGAGAGTTTAATCTGTTAAAAAATCTCTACTCCTAATTCAGAGCATGTAATTTTCCTTTTGTTTATGTTTAAAATATAAACTTTCTTCTGCTGTATCTGATCAGATAAGAGATAGAAGTACTCTCAATAAAAATGTAAGAACTTTATCGCTCTGTACAGGGTTTTATCATAAGATTCAGTTTTACTACTTGTTTTTAATCTCATGTAGTGAAAAGTTTTAAAAATCCATTAACAAAATCTATTATATCAAAAGAAAATATTATGTAACCATTAATTTTTATCTTATACTAGCTGGTATACCCGTTCTTCGCACGGGTGCATTGAAAAATTAAACAATACAGATTGAAGGATAAAGTGGTTTTTAATGAGTTTATTTTACGTGAATTGCTAATTTAAAAAAAAAAGCTTGTTGCATATCTCAGCAGAACAAAAAAACAACAACCATATTTGTTAAATTTTAAGTTTGTAGATCTAATAGCTGATAAAAAGGATTTTTTATTATTTATAACGCCCTGTAACTCCCTTATGGATCGATTTTTGAAAACACCTTCCTAAGTTGATCTCTACTCAGCAAAAGTAACACATTGTTACAAATTTTGTGTAATGAACACTTAAAATAGTGTAAACAATTTATGTAATACGTGAATATTACTTTCTGTTGTATTTATTTTATGTTAAAATTGTAATATTCGCAAGCAACGCCGTTCCTTACATTATAATGGCGATTCAATGGAAACATAGCCAAATGCTGGCGATAGAGCCACATTGGCATCATTTTTGACGACTTGGCGATTGATTGAACGGTGCCAAAGTTGATATGCTATAGCGCCACCTGATGGGGAGCTCAACAAAGAGGATAGTACAAAAACCTTCTCCACAAAAAAATACATATACATGTAAATTTTCATAGCGATCGGTTGAACGGTGACCAAACGAACCAAAATTTCAGGTTTTTCAGTTTTTTAATTATTTGATTAAAAAGGGAAATAAAATGAAAAGTTTTGGACCATAATTATCTTATTTTTCTGTTTTTGTTACAAAATATTTGCACGGCGCAAACGATTTTTTTCACGCATTACGTGAGAAAATTTGAAAGATCCGCTCCTTGTGTGTGTGAGGAATGCTCATATACTCATACCTTCTCTAACTCCCTCCTCGCATTCCATCTCTAGCGTTCCATTTTTCTGACCCCTCCCCCAATTTCCCCCCTAAAAGCTAAAAGCCACTGATGGACACTTCGATAAGTCGCAGAGAATGTAAGGTTTATTATTTTGGTCCCTTTTGCTCACCGGTCATTCAGATAGCAAGACGCCGAGTCGGCTGTCTCGAAATGTTTTTTCCTTATCGAGTCATGTACGTCATAGCGGGAAAAAACCTTAAAACTGCTCTCGAATTGCTGAGGGGTGAAAAAAATGTAACCTGAGAGACTGTGGAAATATTTAGTGAATATAAACAGAAATATGTAAAACGTTAGAATTATTTTAAAAAATAAAACAAGTAAATATAAAAAAATTTAAGTCAATGCCTACTTAGGTCAACAAAGAAAATTTTTATTTTAGTTACTTCTTATTAAATAGTTACAATTAATATAAATATGCAAAAACATATGGCAGAATTACAATGTTAAGAGACAAAATAGAGAAAGCAATTTTCCATTTTCCCTTTCTAAATAGGGTGTTGGACTATTTTTTTTTGTTATTTTTTTCCCGTTAAATTTAATTATTCTAATAAAATAGTATAGTAAGAAAAATAACAGTCTCAGAAATCAGGCTATCCTAGGTGTGATTCGAACCCACGGCCTTTGGATTAAAAATCCAACGCGCTATCCATTACGCTTCAGGGACACATCGAACGATTTTCCTTTCTGTACATGCTGTTAGACTATTATTTTTGTTTGTTACTACTTATTCCTTTTTTAATTTAATGAATGAATTTATATTTGAAAAAACTGTATTAACATCAAGTGTCATATCCACTACAAGTTTAAAAAAAAGTATATGAACTTGAATGGATGAATAATTAGTATTATATTATCGACTGAAAATTTGAACAAGATAGGGAGAGAGGGAACCAATAGTAGGAATTGAAAAAGCGTGAAGTTTTCTGAAAATCGTAAAATTTTTAGTGAAAAATTTCTTTTTTTTTATGAGTTTGTTTATATGTTTTTTAAAATTAGATTTGTGTAGAATGATGTTAGCGCTACCTCATGAAAACATGTATGCGAAATTTTCAACAAATGCTTCGTTAAAAAATTTGCTCTACAAAGAAGATTTTTTAAAAATTTCATTTTTAATCAATTTTTAATTTCAAAATTATTAATATTGAAGATTAATGATCAGTATATTACTATAGCAATATAGTAAGCAACTAAAAATACATCTGATTCATCGAAAAAAAAAGGGAAAATAAAATAGTTGCATTGAAATGATAGAAGTAGAAAACCAAGAAATATCAATAGACTAAACTCATGTGACGTCATAATCAAATGATAACTACATCACGTGTTTCCAGCCAATCAGTTAATGCGTTTGCTGTTGCCAAATTTTACTTTTTGCAGAAATTTGTTGAAACCTATTTGTCACGTGCTTGCATTTATCAGGTGATCATCTTGAATTTACCTTCATTGAATCGATCTAATAATTTGGAATTATTTTGGAATATTTATAAGTTTTTTACCAATAAAAAAATTCTGAGAAACTAAAAACATACTAAAAATTGCTTGATAAAATTTTTATAAGGAGATCAGAGTAAAGGAAAATACGATTTAAAGCCTATGAAAGTAGTTCCACCCCCTCACCCCCCGCGTCTGGACTAGACCTTTAATTACGTTTACATTTATCAATCAACCAAAAATTTATCTGAATGTTTTAACGGGTCTATTCGCTTTTTTCCCACTAATAGTCCTCTTGGGGAATATTAGGTCTTTAAAAACTATTCGATTGAAAACTTTCCTCCGAAGAAGAAGATGGGATTATGAAAATCAAAGGCTTGTATTTAAAGATTAAACTTTCGAGTAGTGGAGAGAGAGATTAGAAGCTATAGGATAGCGTGAATGTTTACTTAAGATAAAGTAAAGCTAGACGAGAGCACTTTGTAGATTATTCGTAGATTAAGATTGACGAGTTGGTCAATTAGTTGTAAAATTGGATTTGTCGGTTTGGATAAGGTTACTTTAGAAATTATCAGAAGATGTATTGCCTGGAAGTACTACGTGTAAGTGATCCGATTTATTATTTATCTCGTCAGTTTCGCGATTGCTCCTGTATTTATCAGTTACTGCATTTCTTAACTTAGATTGCTGAATTTGTGTTGTTGTTGTTGAGAATAGTAAATAAATTGTGTTTTTTTTACTATGGCTAGCTTTCCTTCTAACCCTCACGCAGTAATGGATGGGACAGCCCATCCATTACAATATGGTCTGAAACCTTTAATTGTCTGAAGTTTCTTTTTTCTCTTATATTACATTTCATTGTAAATCTAATTTTTTGCTAATGCAAAAAAATAAAAAAAAGAATTATAATTGAATTTTGATGATGTATATTACTATGAATATATATATATATATATATTTTTTTTTTTTTTTTTATTTTATTTATTTTTATATTTATATTATATTTACTTTAATATTATATTGTGTGTTGTTAGTTTCATTTTATTTTCATTTGACAAATTCTTGTAGTGGGATTGCTCATACCTGGTATATTTCACTTTCAAAATACTTCAAAATACTTGTATGTTTACTCTATTTTCTTAAATAGCATATTAAATAGGTAAAAAAACTGTAGCATTTTGGCAATAGATTTCAACTATCAAGTATTAAGTTGAACAGAATAATAAATTCCCTATGTGTTTCAAAGCAATGTGAAAAAATATGCATAAATTAAATTTATCTCTCTATCCATCAGAGGTTTGCTTAGGTTAATATTAATCATACTAAACTGATATTTCAATTTTAATTTAAATATTTATGTACACATTTTATTTAAATTTTATTTTTATGTTTACATTTTTTAAATGTTATGTTTACATTTTTATTTTTATGTTTATATTTTTTATGTTTACATGGATTGGTTCCACTTGTCACACACACACGTTTCGTATTTTTTAATATTTCCATTTTAACAATGACACAATAACACGTTTTTAATATCAGAGTGATTTCATTTTTATATAAAACAGTTTAATTTTAGTTTGCACCGCTGAAATGAAATTGTATTCTTTCAAATATAGCTATTTATGGAAATTATTTGTGAGAAATTTAAAGTCCTTGCTCATATCTTGAATCAAATAAAAACTATAAGGCGAAGGTAACACCTTATCTACGGGACAGACCTAGATGTATTTCAAAATAAAGGAAAAGAGATTGTGAGAAATGATTTTGTTCCCAAGACATGTTATCGCGCCTTGTTTCTCAAGGTCAAGCTAGTTTATTTTCCGTCGTTTTTTAGTCACGTTTTATGATAATTTGGGGGCTTATCTTTCCATTTTCCTCCACAGTAAAACATCCGGTAAACGAAAAAAAAATTTATGCGGTTTTCTATTGAGTAGGCGTTTAAAAATCTCTCGCATCATTCTGGTACGGATTAATCAGAGACCATAATAGAGGAATTTCGATATGCTTTCAATGAGATACAGTACGACTAGTTTCTTTGCAAGAAATCAAAATTTGAGTTCAATTTGATATTTTTTCAATATAATGACCAATTGTAATAAAATAATTGCTAACAAGTTGTAAGGGATTGCCTTAGTGTGAGATAGTCGGAAGGAAGATTAGACATAGTCAATACAAATTCTATTTATTAACAATTCTCAATTACGACACAAATTCAGCAACCCAAACTAAGAAATGCACCAATGACTAAATAGGGGAAGCAATCGCGGGGTAGACGAGATACCAGGAGAATTAACAATAAACTGGATCACTTACGTCTAGTCAATACACCTCCTTATTCAATTCGTTCTAATCCAAATTTAACGCTTAATTGATCGAATCGTCAATCTTAATATTAATCAATTAACGAAGTTCTCTCGCCTATCAATCACCACTATCCGTTAGCAGTCTAACCTCTCTCTCTTATCTCGAAAGTTTAATCTTTATATACAAGTCTTAATTTACATAATCACATCTTCTTCTTCGGAGGAATGTTTCAATAGTATAAATTTTAAAGACCCATTTTTCCCCAAGAGGACTATTAGTAAGAAAAACACGAATAGACCCGTTACACCAATGATTCCCAAAGTGGTCTATATAGACCCCCAGGGGTCTATGACGACCTCGAAGGGGTCTGCATCAGCCAAAAATTAATTTGGGGGTCCATGAGGTGCAAGAGGGAGTCTATGATAGGGAATCTCATTAGACTAGATTGTGATTTTAATTTTAAAAGAAAATTTACAATCAAGTGGAAACCAAATTTTACTGAGATTTAACAGATTTATTTACTAAATTTAAAATGAGGTTAATTTGCATTTAGAAGGTGACAGCACAAATTTTTATTAAAAACAAGAACCATTTCAGCTTTTCTTTCCTGAGTTAAGCTAAAGAAGTATGATACTGGAGATCCTGAATTTTCTAAATTTGTCACAGACAATCTATCAGAACGTTTTAAGCTACGTTCAACATTTAAATGCACTTTTATTCAGATTTTGAAACCAGGTTTGAGAATGCTTTGACTACGGCAATACCACAGTAGGCAATGAACTCAAATGGTCATATTGAAAAAATTTTACATTACAATAGGAACTGATCGTAATAAGCACTAACGAAAATCTTTAAGTTTAGAAACGGATGCCAGTAATTCTGGCTTTAAAAAGTCAAACCTGTTATTTGTCGCGACTTATGGAATATCGTGAGGAAGCTTTTCATTGTTAGTGTGAAGGAGTTTCAGCGCGGTTACCAATCTCCAAAAAGAAAAAAACTGGACACTACTAACAGAGGAGATTTAAGGTTAAACCAGACAAGATTGATGTCGAAAACTTGATATTATAGTGTGCTAGGGTTCATTTCTTCCATTAAAATAATTTGTTGCTTAGTTATTTTATTTAAAAGTTTTATTTATCAATTAACTTTTAATTTAATTAATTAACAAGTGTTTTTAAAATTTTAAACACTATACTTCATTACAGTTAGAAATTTAATTCTTATAAAGTAGGAGTAATAGTACCAGCTGTCAAAAAGACATTAAAGTTGATAAATTTGCAAAAATTCAATATTAATTAAGCAGGGGTCTACCCCAAATCGAAAAACATGGCAAGGGGTCTATGAGACAAAAAAGTTTGGGAACCTCTGCGTTACACCATTTGCTCATACAACCAAACGTCAGGGCTTAAATAGTATTTATATTTTCATAAAACGAAGTCATTTCCACGGAAAGAGGTTTTTAAACTAAAATCACATTTAAGGAATAGTTTCGCTACGAGGATTAGTAGAAGAATTCGAATAGTACCCGTTACAAAATTATTACTTTTTCTTGAGAGTATAAATGAAGATAAGTATGTGACGGATCTATACCCGACCTTCCACTAACAGTCCTTTTGGGTATTCTTTTGGGCCATCAAATTTTAACCAATCTTCTCCTAAAAGAAGGAAACGTGATATGTAAATTAAGTTTATTATACATATATTCCTTCTTCGCGAGTTTAGGAGTTAGTGAATTATGAGTGGGTTAGAAGTGAAGTGAATTGGCAGTGAAGAGAATAGGAAAACAAAAAGTAAAAAAGTCGGAAGTTTAGCCAACAAGAGGTGACAAGATAGTTACAAAGTGAAGATTACCAGAAGTGGGTTAAAGTCCTTGTAAAAGATTATAACCAAGAAGTGCTAAAGTCTAATTGGATTGAGTAGAAGACT